ATCGTGTATTGTGTAATAAAGTGTCAAAAATGGAAATAAACTCATGTTCAGAATCTCAGAATGGAAGAAATTTGACATTTAACACTGTTCTATTGATATTTTTCACATCTCATCAATTTTCTTAGTTGATCTTATAAAAATGGCAGTAACCTATTAATTTTGTTGTATGTTAAAAAAGTGTTAAAAATGGAAATAAACCCATTTCAGAACAGTGCAGTCTTGTTCCTTTAGCCAATATCAAAGACTCAGAGATTGTGTCAGATGCTGAGGGCATCAAAGAAAAATGTAAGACAATAAGCTTAGGACAATCTAACGGGGAATTAATTTAACACACTTAAAAATGTAAACACACACAGATGGACTTTAGGTGGGAGACTCTCACACACAAACACTGAGTTTAAATTCACTGTTCAGTGATCTAAATTTTTGAATGTGTCTTTGACTATGTTAAATAATGTATTGAATTCTTGTTGTGCACAGGTATGAAATGTTTAATTTGTTTTCCTGTCTTTCTTCAGTCAATATCAATGACACAACAACTGTGAAAGCAGACGTGAAGGAGAGAGGTAAGACAGTAGGGTCAATAGAATAGTAGGGTCAATATTTATTACACTGATGGAATGTGATTGTGCATGTACACACACACACACACACACACACACACTCCTTATGTTGTGCCAACACGGTTTGTGCTTTTGGCAAGTTTAAAATAATATTGGCAGAATTGTTTATTCCAAATACTGGTAAAAGTGTTTCATTGAAACTTCATACATGAAATATGATATTGCACTGACTTATACTTTTACCTCTTAGTAAGTAATATTGTATTATACATTTCAGCTCCAAAGAATCGCCGCCAATCTAGGTGGAGGAGGGTATTGAATCTGTTCACGTCTTGCTTCAGACGGAGGGCACGAACATAAATGGTTATTCTTATTCTTCTTCTTCTTATTATTATTATTATTAATTAAATAATTCTAAACACTTCAGACATTAAGAAATGAAGAAAAGTCAGTTTTTTTTAAAGAATTCATTTATTACACATTTACAGAGAAGTTGATTTTGTTTGTCTCTTTGTTTTGATGTATCATAACTAAGTAAGCTTTCAGTTTTTTAGAGGAAAACTATGTCAAACAGCTGGTAAAACTGTAAATTAAAGCAGCAAATTAATTATATCACAGCAGCCAGGAGCTGGTGGTTGAAGAGTTACTGTCAACATCTATTTACACCTAACTGAATGTACGTTTTAACTGAATTACATTGTAATATTTTCATCTTTTTTCAGGGTCGTCAGTGCAGAACTATATGTATCATTGCCTCTGTAGCAGCCAGTTAAAAACTGCAAAATGTCATTCTCTTAATTTTACAATAAAATATTAAATTTTTGTAATCAGATGAGTTTTGTTTTTCTTTTCTTAATTGAGGGTACCATTAGGGAGGGGTGATCATAGTTCATGGGAAATAAAACCATTAATTTACAAATCACAGTAAACAAAACTTTATGCATATCTCACCAATAATGCTAGTTGAAAACTGTGAAAATTACGAATTACCAGGTATAAGGCTTAGTTTCACGAAGGGCAAAGAATAAAAAGCCACATTTGCGAGTCACAGGAATGAGGTGCTTCACGGAATATTGACATTTCATGCATCTCAGAGAAATAAAAAGTGGCTTTCACAGATAACAAAATACCCAGTGGGGCTCTTTTAATTAAAAAAAGTTTGAAAAAGCAAAATAAACCAATTTTTGTATAAAGGCATTTGGGATGTGATGCAAGAAACCAGCACTTGACTTTTTTTTTTTTTTTTTACAATAAATGAAACACTATAGTAATTACCTCATTCCAATAAAACAACATTTGATTTCTGATTTAAGTTTTAAAGTTTGAGGTTTATCTCAAATTTTTTATCAAATTCTCTTTTTATTTCATTTATTAAACTTAAGAAATAATCAATACATGGTACAAATTTTTAACTATATTTAAATATATACATAAATACTCATACTCACACACATGTACCATATCATATGGCTCAATTACTGAAAACTTCTCTTTTGGTTTTATATTCCAGTATGTCCATGTTTAAATACAAAAAAAAAAAAATATATATATATATATATATATATATATATATATATATATATATATATAGTTTAAACTCTTAGGAATTCAACTTGCAAATAAGGATCCCGTTTTAGTTTTTTTTTATACATAATTATAATATTGAGAGCATTTTAACGTTTGAGCATCTGGTGGCTACAGTGGTTACAGTGGAGGAATGGGGAAAAAACTTCTCGATGTTATTAACACCACCAGTAAAATAATTGGGAGAGAACTCCCCCAACTGGATGATATCTTGAAAGACAGAATGGAGAAAACAACAAAACAAATTATGGGGATCCCACCCATCCAGCAAGTTCTCTTTTTAAATTCTCACCCAGCAATAGCAGACTGCTGACTTTTAAGGGCAGTAAACGGTTTTAAGTAGGTCTCTATGTTCAGTATTTTAATTAAACTTTTAGGCCTAGTTCATAATTTTTTATTGTCCAGTGTTTTATTTTATCTCTCAAAGGATAACAAATGCCTATATTTATATTTTAATATTTTTATTGGCTGAATAAATTCTTACTTTATCTTACCATACTTGTACTATTGCTATAGCCATGTTACATGTATTATCATAAAAAATATTGTAAATAGCGGCAACAAGTTCTTTTTCTAACACAATCCCTTTGTTGTCATTTTTCAAAATGATTAAAGGATTTAAAGTATTTTACAGACTGCTCTTCCCCGTTGCCAACGCTCACAATTTAGGTCTATCATTTAAAATCAAGTGTTTTATTGTATAAAATATAACATGTGTAAAGCCAAAGGCTTCGTCCAATAATCTAGCTTTGTTTAATACTGTGCATGAACCCAAAATTATGCTATAGTATAATCAAAATAGAAATATCAAGAATTCTTTTACAAGATGGATCACATTAGAAATCTCCCCCCCCCCATCCTGCCCCCTTTCTACTGATACCATACAAACAAGCCACCTTCCAAACTCAGCGTGGGTTGGAGTGTGAAGTAGGTCAAAAGCTCGGATATGCCATGTAAGGGTTCTTAGGGGAGATAAGTGATGTCCTTTTGCGTTTTTTTTTTTTTTTTTTTTATTCTGCCAAATTTGAGAAAAATAACAGTATCTTTCATGGCACTTAGTCAGTATAAATTCAAATAAGTTAAGTTTCTTTCCTTTATCACGTAATTCGTCAGATGAAGTTAAATACAACAAATTCCTAGAAAACCTTTACCCCCTCTGGTGAATGCAATGTGACGTCTGCAGAGCTCAGCGTCTGCCACCACGCTAGATGATTCTCGCTTCCCGGGAGCTGAACAGTTAACGCGGTCTGAAAAAATTTAGGGAGAGTCAGATGAAATAGAGAGGGACCGTTGCATCTACAATGTTTTACATAGTGAAGCTGGAGTTGTGGGCTAATTTTACTCTTTTCTTTTAAAATTCGCAATATACTCTACCTTTCAGTAACTCTATGATACCAAAATATTTTTCTGGCATCTTGATACATTTTCCCCTTCTGCCTCCCCCTAAAATGGTCCACACTAAAAAAATCAATAATCGTATGGCAATTTTATACAGGCAATTGACCTACTTTTGAACCCATGCGGCGAGTATTATGGCTGTGGGGTGAAGACGTGATACATGTCTGTGATATAAAATTATTTCTAATTATATAATTTTCAAACAATGCATGTGGATCATAGGTGCCCCAATTTGTGAGTAAAAGAAGCCATTACTTTTTGAAAATTATGAAAAAATTGGAGACAAGCCAAAATCAGAAAAAAATGCATTTTTTCTCTTATATGCAAATTAGGTCCCCTGAAGTAATATATGACTGGCCGGAAGTGATGTCCACATCAGAGATTTGTAATGGTGATGATCTTGATGACTTTGATGATCTTAATGGTGATTAAAAAATCTTACCAAAGTTTTCAGTTGTCATCTGGCGAGAAAGAAATTTTTCTGCACTAACACAATCATTCCACGAGCGAAGAAGTGAACGCGCTTCAGAGATGCGCTGCAGACGTCACAGCTTTTGGGTGAAAGCCACGCGATATTTCGTCATATATGTATACTCATGAAGAACGATGTTTTGCAAGACTTTATGAGATGAAATGTGTTACACAAAGTATATTTTGATTTAAGTGCAAAACAGTTTACCAGTGACAAATTCAGTATTGATATAGAAGACTGTAAACTGTAACATGCTAACATTTGCGTGCTCATTTGAATTTATTAGCAGTAGAATTAAAATGCAGAAATAGGATGGCACCCCACGTGCAGTATAAAGCTCACATTTATTATCGCTTATGAGTACCATGTTTAAGCCAGAGTTGTCCTTGTAAAGTACATTAATGCAAACAAGCTGTTGTAATTATAAGTTGTTGGTATTTTACTATTTGAGTATAATATACGACAAGTAAAAGCTATGACAACATTTACATCACCAGGCTTAAAGTTAACATTTTGTGTCAAAATTTTAACACACCTGCATTTTAAAGATTGCAGGGTGTCACAAATTAGCTACAATTTTTCATGCCGCTGTGAAATATGATTTAGACGATAGTCAACTTACAGTGTAGGCCCAAATATATTTTTAAGTCCAACAATATCTTTTTCTTATTCACCAATTTGTCTTTATTCTTAGCAGTCAAAAGTCATTTGGTTTGTTTCTGAATTGCTCGTGCTGTGAAAATTGTTTCCATCCATAATTATCCATAATTCCAATGGCAAGGTTCTACTGAAAGCTGCTCTGGAAATAACCTCTCAGTTAACTAATTAACTTAACTGAACATATATTCAAGCCAAAGCATTTTTTTAAGGAAGACCTTATAAAGAAAACAAAAGCTAAACACATTTTTAAAAAGTTATTTTCAAGAGTTTTGATAGGCTGTTATAGTTCACCGGTATGTTTAAATTTCATGGAGATTTTAGACTTAGGTAGTAAGGCAGCTGGTCTGAAGCATAACATTGTTGTTGTTCGTTGACGGGAGCCCCTTCACTGTACCCTTCTCTGCAAACTGAATGATGTAATAATTGACGTTATCAACAACGCTTACTGACGGTTGGCTGATGGACCCAGCATCGCGAAGAACCTGCAACATTCCCGCGGCTGCACCGGCGACGAGAGGGGACGCCATTGACGTCCCACTTTTCTCTATCCAACCGTTGGTATTAGCGTAGTTGGCGGCCCTTATTTTCCTCCCTGGAGCGTAAATATCGACGCACGGTCCGATGTTACTAAATGAAGCCAAGTAATCATCTATTTGGGTGGCGCCGACTGTGAGGGCTCCGCTTACGCTTGCCGGGGATACATTACACGCATCGGCCTTGTCGTCATTTCCAGCGGCGACTACCACTGGAATGCCTGCATCCAGCACCGCGTACACGGCGTCATTTATATACGTGGTATACGGAAAACCGATTGATATATTTATTACTGATTGACGTTTGTTTTGTTGAACCCGTGTCTTTATCCAGTTTAGTCCTGCCAGGAGGTCCGAAGACGAACATGTTGTTGCGTCGCATACCTTGACGGGGATGAGGGTGACCTTCTTGGCTGCTCCATAGGTGGCGCCTCCTAAGGTACTGGCCACATGGGTACCATGACCATGGGTGTCTCTGGTATCGGAGAAAGAACTCGCGTGCCATCCTGTAAAAACAGCAAAGAACTTTGAGGAGAACCGTCCTCTTGCTGATTTTTGTGCCGAGTCATCCCCTCTCTCTCTCCCTCTCTTTCAACACACACACACACACACACACACACACACACACATCTCCTTCTATATCTCTCTCTACCTCTATCTTCTGTAATTTTAGTTTTATGAAACCTTGGACATAATAACAAAATTCGTTATTATGTCCTAGATGAAACTTACCTGGCAAAACTCTTCCTCCGAAGTCACTGTGATCAGGATTAATGCCAGTGTCCATGACGTATGCGTCTATACCAGAGCCGAGCGCCCAGGTGGCGAAACGGTCATCATCCGGAGAGTAGTCTATTCTGTCTAAATTCTGCATAATAAATACGACATTCATATCAAGATACATTTTTGTTGTTGTTGGGGGTCAGTGGTGTTGTTGCTTATATAATAACATGGCAAAATCATTTGTAGGCCTACTCAGAAGAGAGCCTGTATGCAGTAGTGTCCTCACACAGAGAAACTGTATCATTAAACACACACACACATACACACACACACACACACACTAAAATGTAGAGCCTACACATGCATACATATGCACATGCGGTGATATTTACCCATGTTTCAGCAGCCGGGAAATACCCTTCACAATGACTTAGTTCTAGCGACATTTCTTTAGCTTGTTCGATTTCTTCAATATCGCCAGTAAGTTGTCGAAGCAGTTGCAGGTCACTAGAAAAAAATTGAAGTACTTCAGTTACGATGATAATTATATCGCGGACATCAGGACAAAATATGCATATTTAAAAATAAATTTGTGTGGAATTTCTTCCCAAATCATACGTATTATCAAATAAAGTTTAACTATGATATCTAAAAAATCATATACTGGATAAAAAGATGAAGAAAATATAATTTAGATTGTAAGACATAAAAGAAAAAAATCAAATATCAAATAATTAATATAATACCAAATTAAATGGTTGCTTTAGTCTGAACCAGTGCTCTCCATCGAAAAGGAATGAGTTGACAAAAACCATACCTATCATTTATATCCCTAAGAATGACGAAGCTGCTTTTTCTACTAAACTTCACTCTTTGTCGGGAACCTCTTCCTTTCAGGGTGCGACGGACTGTAAGGGAAATATAATTGAAACTGTAAATTGTAAGTGTGAAACGGGTAGGTAGAATATATTGATTATGAAATAAGATATTTTATAACCAATTCTCGGTATTTAAAAGCGACTCAAGACTAATAAGTACGGTTAACTGCACCTTATAGTAGACACATCTGCATACAGATCATAACTGATTTAATTTAAATACATTGTAATTCATTCTTATTTCGTTTTGAAAGTTATCTATTAAGTAGTTTACTTTCTTTTTGGTTATTAAATTGGTTAGAAGTTTTATGTGAGCTTCTTATATGTCCTCTAAAATGTTTCGCAAGTAAAACATGGTATGCCTTTTAGTAAAGACTACGTAAATAGTTTTGGCACTAATATGTAAGTTTCTCTTTTGTGCTACATGTATTCTAACACATAAACACAGAAGGGCCTACACGCCATCAAATACCACATATTATGTATAGGAATAATGTATCTGCAACCGGACTTAAGGATGGTTCTATCCTGTCGCTTATCATCTTTTTTTCAAATTTTAGTATTCTTGGGTTTCTGAATACATAACTCCTTATTTTGCCAGTCTCCGGGTGCATGTCAATTGCCAACGTGTTGTCTTTGCTCATTAGACGCATTCAGAACCAGTTGATCTGTGGACTTACAAGTCCGAGGATCACATATGGCGCGACCCACTTGAAAGCGTGCCGAGATTTAACTGGGACGGCGCGAGTGGGAGGCGGGAAACTATTGTCAAATAGTAGGTACATGTATGTGGGACATTCCACCCTTTGTAGATAGTTATTTGCCACTAAGCATTAGTACGGAAATAAAACTGAATTGTACGGAACTGAATTTTTCAACTATTTAAAGTGGTGCACTTACTTCTTCCATACTTGCCACCAGGCAGAAGACGGGCAATGTATTCATTGGGAACGGCCGTACCATCCGTGGGGGTTATCAGAGGCACTAAAAAACGAATGCAAAGTGACAACAGCAACTTTGATAAATAGATGTTATATATATATCATCGATTTGCCAAATTGACTCTATTTGAGTCGTTTAAGAAAGAAGTAGTAACGTTACAGGGGATCTACGCAAGGGTCATATTTAACTTCATATTTAATTACGTACCTAAACCTTTCTCCTCGGAGATGTTTATCAGTCCTTTTTCCTTCATCATCTTTTTTATTTCTGCGGGGTTTTCCCTTTTCATGTTCTTTAGTCTTCGGTTCTTGGGAATGTTTTCTATCTTAAACTTCAGTCCGGGTGGTGTCTCCTCACTCTCATTGGCATGCACCTGCTCTAACGCGAGAAGCATGAAAAGCGTAGAGGCAAAGAGCAAATATTTCATGATTGTGGTTCTTCCTGAAAATTGGACGTTTAACGATTGTCGGCTGTGCAATGTGTTATCTACCTCACAAATCACTAACCCTTGGTCACTTCTTTTACCAAACCCGAGATTCGACTGAGTCCGTTAGTGCCAAAGCTTGGGAAACTGTGACTTAAATACATTTTTCAAATGTTACCTTGTTAAATTAAACAGGACGAAATGTCTGGTTTCAGTCCATTTAATGGTGCAAGGCAGGACCTTAAACACGAAAGTTTCTGTTACAGCTGTTCACAGTGTTTAATATATTAATAGGCAAGGAAGACGATTTTGGTATCAAAGTAAAATCCATCAGGCACACACTCCCAATAATAATTATAATAATAATTGATTCTCATAAAGGGTCTAACCTTATCACAAGGCTTTCTTCTGGTGCATTGAGATTACTCCGTTTCAAATCGTATGATCTATATGCAGTATAGTATATTTTAGTTAAATCTTTATCTTAGTTTAAAACAATAGGGCGAATTAAAACAATAACTTTGAAATAATTTTGTTGATGATTGTTATAAAAGTGTTGTGCATGGACCGATATATAAAATCCACTCGCTGAGGCAAGGAAGTTCTTGTGGGTTTTAAGTATTCTCCAGGGCCGTAGCCTCCGGGGGGGCAGGGGGAGGGGCAGCTGCCCCCCCCCCCC